ACAAACGTGGCTCCAAGAAAATATCAATTATAATATTACCTCCATGTTTTAGGTGGTAATAAAATTGAAATACAAACTAGTAAAAGAATTTAGCATGATTTTAAACAATCTGATTCCCTAAAGCAAAACAAATAAATGAAAGGTTTTCTACCTGAAATATGTTTTATTCCCTAACAAATGGATCTGAAATCAAGCCTTGTGCTTTAGAGTGAATGCACTAACAATGCAGCTGTCATTAAATATCACAGATTCCACCTTCACGGTCCCTGTAAATGCGCTCCATGCTTGGGTTGGGGTGGGGGGTTACGGAAGAGGGGATTTCTGAATGTCCACTGAACTAATAAAGCATTTTAACACAGATATTAAAAAAAAAAATCAGCAACTCGAAATGAAAAGAACTGGACTGAACTGGACTGGCGTGCAGTGTACTCAGGTTGGGTACATTCACTCCCCAAGTTAAGCGATGTATACTGATTGAATGTATAAAATAAATGAAAAGAACTATAGAGCAGAAAGTTACTGGCTCATCTTTTTAGACAAGCAGTATTTAGATTTATTATTAGCGAGGTTCAAAGGTTAAAACTAAGAAAATGCCAGACACTTTGAAGGAGGGGCTCGCTCAGCCAGGGGTCACATGACAGCTGCTAATTGGAAATGGTAAAAGGAAAGGGGGGAAGGGCAGTATATCTGCCTGCTCTTCTTTCTTTATTGCCACGTTTGATTTTCACTGGGGGAAAAAAGGAAAGGTAAGATTCTTACAACCCTCAAAGAGGTCTAAAATAAATAAGTCACCCCCAGGTTGACCAAACACAGCCAACACCCCATCCAGGCTTCATTGCAAAATGGAAAAAGAAGACTGAATTTTAAAATAAAACTGTATTTCTACAGTGATTTCAATGAAAACAGCCTAATCCCCAAACTAGTTCAATGTTTTCCTGCCATTAAAAACAATTAAAAACACTCCTTAGAATGATGACATTTTATTTCTTGATTTGTCTAAATATTTACTTACATTGAAGGAATGTATCTTTAAGCTATTTTGTGTTGCCTTTTTTGAGAGTATTTTCAGAAATGATAAATTTCTGAAAGGTAAGTAGAATCAAACGGTAGTTATTTAATATTTCAAATTATTAATCAGTTCATTACTAAAAGCAAACTGCCTTTCTTTGGACTCTTTTAAATAGTTTTGTTAGAAAAGGAAAGCATTAATATCTTCACAAAGTTCACATTTTTCCATGTCTCCACAATTTTATCTTAGATTCCTTCTAATGTATTATTCCTTATGTATATCAATTCTACATTTAGTTTGGAATGATAGACAAAATTTTTCATGATTAATGGTAATACTTTATTGATATGAAATGGGAAAGTAATAACCCATAGCTAGCTTTAAAGTTGAATTTATGACACCATTTTGATTGTGCAGATTAACAGCAATTACCTGCACCACTCATTCTGAGCCACTAGATGGTGTAAAAAAATAAATTAAAATGGTAAAGTTTCATCCCATCACCACCAAATCTAAGTATAACTTGGAGGAAGGTTAAACAAATTTCTAGACATAGTACAGTGTTAGCAATTTCTACGTTAATTGTACTTCAAAAAATTTATCAGTATACAATGTTGGTTCTAAAATCAAATCTAAAAATCAAGCCTCTTTAAGCAATTTTTTGCTCTCTTCTATTAAGGGTCTTGAGTTCTTAATTAATACTAATACAGAGCATTCAAAAATCACAGCCACCATTCACATATTAAACAAATTTATAATATTAACTTATGATTTGTGTTTGTAAAAGTTGTGATAAAATGGGAAGGCCAAGCCAATAAGAGATTGGAGTCTCCAGAGAGAAACTTTATGAACTGCCCAAAGCAAGTGGGGAAATAGAACTTTTCAGAAACATATACTCAACAGCAAAGCAACGTCGTGACTACTAACAGCCAAGACACCCATCGATAGCTTTGGACATACCTGAATCCCATCAAGGGAAAGCTAAGTGTCCTTTTTTTTTCCACCCTCACCAAGTTTACTGGGTTGATCTGTTAGGGCCATAGCTAGGTAACTATGGGTATTTAAATCATTCAGGCAATGCTGACTAACAAGGACTTCTTGTTCCTTTCTTGGCTCTTCTTTCAAAAACCAAAATGGGCCACAGCTAAAATTTTCATCTCTATAAAGTCTCTAATGAAATGATGATGGTGGTGAAACTTCAAGCCTTGTGAAAGGATGATAGAGGAAGTATTTTTATTCAGCTCTCCCTCAAATAATAAGATTTAAAATTCGGGGGTAGAAGTATATACATTCCATGAGCTGGACCACGTCTAACTCGTGTTATTTGATCAGGCATCACAGGACAGGTGTGAGAGAATGAGAACTACTTCCTTCCTCTAGAATCATAGAAGCATGAATACTAGGTTGTCAGAAAAATATTTTAAATTATTCAAAATACGTCATGACTTTTCCAACAACCTAATCGTTTTAATTACATGTTAACAGAAAGTGATTTTCTGAAGCGGTGGTAGAAATGACATGCCCGTAAGAATGTTGCTCTGGACACAGCTGATCCTGGAGTCTGGAGCTCCACCTAGGCTTTCAATAACAAAGACATTCTGATTCATAAAGAAGGTTTGAAAAACAGAGCTGCATGGACTTCAATAAGTTCGTGTTTGCAAAAGGCGTATAATGGCCATGTGCCATTTGCCCCCATAATCTGAAATCCCAAATGGAAACTAATCAACTTTTTAATTTTATTCATAACTGTAGCTAAATCAGTTAAAGAAACCGTGAGTTAAGAAAATGTAGGAATGATTCCAGGAAAGTTTCTTGACAAGAATGAAATGAATCAGTTTGATTTCTATGTGAAGTAATTGATTCGAAAAGCTGCTGTCTTAAGTCAGGGCAATTAAATCCTCAAAAACTGGTTTAGTCAAGTGTCATAATGTGGCTACTTTACAGCTTCCAAGAACTTCAAATACCTTTCTTAAAATAACAACAACAAAACTATGTTAAGGAGCAGAATACTGAGAGAAACAAATGACTAGCCTTAACTCTGGGCTTGTTAACTAGCAATTGTCCGGCTGTATTTACTTACTAAATATGCCCTTCCCCAGTAATCTACAAGTGCTTATATCTTATTCCTTTTAAATTTGTGGTGTCTGGAATAGGTCCTGACACACTGCAGGTGCTTTATGATGGCTTCAAATTAAATGGAAGAAAGAAATGAAGAGAGGAAGGTAAGAAAGGAAAAAGTGAAGAAGACAGGGAGGGATGGACAGAGATATAATCACCAGAAGAGAACAGAGGGGCAAAGCACTGGCCTGGGAGTCAGAACACCTTGCTCAAGTACTCAAGTACTGACTTTTTTAAAGTTTTTGCTCTAGGGTGAGAGATGGGCAGAGAGAGGGAAAGTGAGAAATCACCCCTCACTCCCAGGGCAATGGCCATGCTGCAATCTCTTCTCCTTCAATCTCCTCTCAGGATTTTGGGCATGCGCACGTGCGTGCACACACACATACACACACACACGCATGCACACACACAGAGCATGTTTTTCAGCTGCCAGGTCTGGAACTTGAACTACATAGCCAGGTGGGATCCAGCTGCCTCAACCACCATGCCACCAGCTGGCCCAGTTTGGCACTTTCTTGACCCAAGTTCCCTTATCTGTAAAAACAAGAACAAATGATCATGCTAAGACCCCTTGCTCTAATATGCTATGATCCATTGGGTTATGATTTTATGTGGCAGCCATGTAGTGTTAATATTCAATGTGTGGGTCAGCCAGTGGTGTGGTGATTAAGGGGGCTGGATTGCACATGGCTGACTACATGGTTTTAGTCCTGGACCCAGCGACTTGAAAAACACACCAAGCAAGTGTGCATGCCCAAAATCCTGAGAGGGAAAAATGGAAGAGAAACAACTGTGGCATAACATCCCCCACAAGGGGGTACTTTCTCACTCTCCCCTCTCCCTCTCAGTGTCTCTCTCCAGGGAGTATACATGTACTCTGTCCAAGAAAAAAAGAAAAAAAATCAGTGTGACCTTATTTCCAAATTTTATTCTGTATCTAACTTATTTCCAAATTCTATTCTGTATCTAACAAATCATATTATCGCTCTGAAAAGTCCAAAATACTTCTGTAATCAAGAAACTACATTAAACTACAAGGCTTAGGATTTATTTAACATTTTCCTACTTCTATTCAAATTGTTTCCACATATCATTTGTCTCTAAAATAGCCTCATAAAGCAGACAGAGGGAGATCTTTTTAAGCCCCACATTCTACTAGGGGAAATTAAAACACAGACATTTAAGGAGCTCGTGTGTTATCAGAAGTGTAATCATGATTAGAAACTTGATTTTTAGATCTAGACAGAAAGATTCTCAATAATCCAGTATCTCAAAAAGCAGAGACAAAGAAGAGTCTGTGTGTGTGTGTGTGTGTGTGTGTAAAGTGTGTTCACAGCAATATATTTTGCCATTATATTTACAAATATAGTATGTTAATCTTAAGAAAAATTACCTAAACCTGTCTGAATAGAAAAACCTTGCTTTAAATTGTCGGAACACCCAGTGTATTTACATAGAGATGAAAAACTTGTTCTATAAACAGTGTTTCCAGTAGTGAATGGCAGACAAAATCAGAATAAGCACACAGAAGAATAAAAAGGAAGAGGAAAGAACAACGTAATAAATAACCCAATACCTCACAATGTTAACTTCCACGTAAGTATATTGTTTCTGGAGAAGGCAGAGGGTGGACACGGGCCAAGGGCTAAGTGATAGGTAAACACACTATTAAGCTGAATCCTGCTATCTGATTGTGTTTAAAATTTGATTATATTTTTCTTGACAAAATAATTAATTATTGTGAACTCCCAATTGTTAAGAAGGACCTAGAAGAATTCCAATTGGCATATTTCCCTAGTGTTGTAAATCCAAATGCGAAAGAATGAGCTTGGCACACCCTTTTTACAGTTGTCATTTTGGGATATCGTCTTACCTTGCTGAGAATGTAAATTACATCACCACGCTTAAATGACAACTCATCAGAAAAAGCTCCTGTACAGTCCCACAGACCCTGGTAAAAATTAGCATAATCAGTGCTTTTATCTCCTAGGGAAAAAGAAAAAGAGAAAATTAGAGTTAGAACTTTCATGCAATTTAAAATGAACCAATAGCAATTAAAGACCAGCCCCAGCTACCAAAATAGTCTCATAAAATTCTGTCCCGAGTCAATGAACACTTCACAGTAGCCTTTCAAGAATCCTACTTTTTACTATCAATTTAACGAAGACCATGTTCAAAAAGATCTCAGTTTGAATGTCTTTTTTTCTTTCTTGGCCTTTCATCTAAAACCTGCTATCGCAACATGTTTTTATTGAACTAGCACCTAAAAGTTGCTTCCAACTTAGTTTCTCTAACAAATCTCAGCCCACCGGCAACATGTTTTGAAGATAAGCCCGGCGCATTTCATAATGAGCAGTATTCATGAAATGAGACGAACACTAGTGACATAGCCATCTCATAGAATATGGGACACTTCATCAAGGTAATCATAAAGTAGCTAACGTACAAATACAAAACCGAAACGAAGGAAGCAGTTTACTTTAAAAATCCTAAAGCCCAAAGCTGGTTAAAGGAAGTAGATGAAGGGAGACTGAGTAAAGGGTAAATGCAGTCTTATTTCTTGGGGAAGTTAGTAGTCAAAGTCTCTCAAAGTTTATCCGTGAAATATTTTAAAAACTTTGAGATTGTCAATGCTGAAGCTGCATTTCTCAACAGTGTTTTGTCAGCCCCAGTTTAGGACATTAGGCTCTGAATAAACATGCAACAAACACTGGAGTTATCAGCTCATCCTTCTAACAGCATAAGCACAATGGATGTGATGTGCTCAAACTGCCATACAGACCATTAACTGATTGATTATTTAGCGCTCTCCGCTCTGTAATACCACAATAAACCGGGTAATAAATGCTTTGTCACTTCTACAGTGTGGGTCTCCTGAAACACAGCACAGAGTTAAATACACTGGATGCTTTTGTTACACGGAGAACTGTTTCCTGTTTTTAATTTCATGATAATTGAGTTTTGATGAGTTAACGCAAAAAGAATGCAAGTAATATCAATAAGATGTCCGTGTAGTCACTAGCCAGGCAGAACATATTCGTGCTGACAACTTCCATCATTGGAATGTCATCTTTGAATTCTGAGGGGATAACGGTGGAGACATGCTGGATCAGGGTTGTCATCTTAGTTTTGTTATATGGCTCTCAAACAGCAGGCTTCTTGGCAATTCCAACGCAACTAGCCGCATTACCATGTCATTATGGTGTTCGTCTTATTACACAGTTTGTGATTTAGACAAAGTGTTAAGTTTATTAGAAATTTTTAAAATTCTCTTTAACACCCAAAATATTTTTAATGTGCCCAAAAAAAGAATGTGAATAATGAGGACTCTGAATATTTAGGAGGTAGAAGGCTACTTTTCATGTATATTTATATTATTTTTATTATAAGACAATAAAGAAGAACTAGAAAATATATAGCCTATTATTTAAGTTGCTTTTTTTTTCTTGTTTTCTAAGAATTAAATAAAAAAAGAGAGACACTGAGGGGGAGAGAAAAGGAAGGAGTGAAGGAGGGAGGCAGACCCGGGAAGAAACAGACACCTCAGTGACTTCTCCATGGCGGGTTTGAGCGCTCCTCACTGATACCAGCGGGGATGTATACAGGCCTGCGGATCTGACCAAGAACTAACAATGCCTGTGGTCATCCTTCATTATATTCTTTCCTGCAAAGCATATATTAAGTAAATTCTACAAATGGACGGTAGAGGGCACTCCGGCAGGCCAGATCACTCCAGACATTGTCATTCTTTGCAAAAAGAAAGAAAGAAAAAAAAATCACTTAATAATAAAGTGACTGATTTCTTTTAAAAACCACTTATTTAGACAAATAGAGATTTAGAAGTTGAAACATTCTAGTCAGATTAAATCAACTGCTAACTAGGTCAAATGTTGCGCCCCACGCAGTCCGTCAGTGTCAGTTTAAAAGTCAAGGAATTAGAGCAAAGAGAGGATGACATCATTTCACAGGCAAGGCCCTCCCCCGCAGTAACTGGCCAGGAGGTAAAAGGATCTAAATAGCTGGTTTCCCCCGTCCAGGCTCCTGGGCAGTCCCCATGCTGCTGAGCCTCAGGCTTGGTCCAAAAAGCTGGGAAGCGGGAAACGTGGGCTAGGAAATGAGAGCAGAGGTTTTGGCTTGAAAATGGCATCCCAGTGGGGCTCCCCAGCTGCCCAGGATGCTCTTCCCTTTTCCAGATTCCCTCACAATAGCTTTCATTCAATATATTTTTCAAGAGGGGGAGGAAAAGAAAGAAGGAAAAGTAAAGTATATGGTGATTTCTAACACATAATCCTTATCACTTTGGGGTCTCTCTTCCCCTCGATGCGCTTGGTGAAACTCCCATTAACACTAATGGGAGTTCCAGGAGCACATGAGGGGAAGTGAGACCCCCACCGTGTGCAAGATGCATCTCTCCCTAGATGTGCATCACGAGCATTTCATTACATCTTGCTGCTGTAAAGAGGCAACAGAGCTAGCGATCTGGCAATGCCGGGGAAAAGATGCATTTTCAGCTGCGCTTTCTATAATCTTGATGATGATGTTACCCAAACACCAGCCTCATTTCTGTGTCCCATATGTGGGCTCTGTTAAAGAACAATTTGTTTATGCCACACAGCTACACAGACACAGTTTACTATTCCACGTATTTCAACACGCAATACAGTCATGCAGTAGAAAATCATAACTAGGGAGATAACCTGGCACAATGTGTCTTTAAGTCTCCTTAGGAAATTAATGTTTAAATTCTTGACATAAAAACTGGACATAAAAAATTAGAAATTATCTTGTTCCTGAGAGAATAGCTAGCTCCTCTGACTTACTTTTTTTACTATTTAAGTGAGCTAAACATACACAAACAAGTAAGCAAGATTCACAAAAGTTAACAGTTTGCCATACACTGAAAAATAACCATGTGAGATACATATTTTTAAACAAGATGAAGCCTATTGTCAAACACATACCTTCTGAAATACAATTAAGTCTGTTTAGTCTTTACTATAAGGATTAATTTTCCTATTCTAGTCACATCATGATCTATATTTTCAAAATTTCCACACACACACAAAAAATCACCTTATTATGTTTCTTGTCCTGAGAGGCATGAATGATTTAAAAAGAAGGTAAGAAAGAAAATAATTAATTAGCCTGTGAAGGATTTAAACACTGTACTTACTTTTCATTTAAAAAAAAATAGTGCACTGGGCAAAGCTAACAAAATTATTATGAAAGTAAAACTAAACATGTAAACATTGGAGATAATTTTGCAAAGATAAAAAGATTTTTAAAATAGGATGACAATGGATAGAACCTGAGAGTCAGATAATGGACATTCTCTCCCTGGTTGTTAGAGTTTGAAAAACTATTTTTTAAAAAGGTAAGTGCATTCTACGATGTTAAAAAAAAAAACTCAAATTGACTCTTCCATATATGTATATATGTATGGTCTTCAAAAATTGTGTAGAAAATGCATATTATGAAGAAATTGGATTTCAATATTTTGGATCAAAATAAATGTGTACTTTAATTCTACTTTTCCAGAAACTTTTTGAAGCCTCTCTGTGGGTGTATGTGAGATATATATAATCTTGAACATGAAGGAGTGAACATGAAGGAACTTGTAAGAAACACCGGGTTAATTTTGGTTTTGCCTACATATTTTACATTAAAATATATGACATTCTTGAGTAAGGTTAGAAGTTCACGTCATGTGATGCTCAGCAAGATAGTAATACCCTTGTCAGCTCACTGCCCTGTGTGGCAAACAAACTTCTAGTGTTACATCTTCAACAGCCTAGGAAAGAACAAAGGTCACTGCTATGCAAAAGCATTAAAACTGTTGCTTTCAATATATTTTTCAAGAGGGGGAGGAAAAGAAAGAAGGAAAAGTAAAGTATATGGTGATTTCTAACACATAATCCTTATCACTTTGGGGTCTCTCTTCCCCTCGATGCGCTTGGTGAAACTCCCATTAACACTAATGGGAGTTCCAGGAGCACATGAGGGGAAGTGAGACCCCCACCGTGTGCAAGATGCATCTCTCCCTAGATGTGCATCACGAGCATTTCATTACATCTTGCTGCTGTAAAGAGGCAACAGAGCTAGCGATCTGGCAATGCCGGGGAAAAGATGCATTTTCAGCTGCGCTTTCTATAATCTTGATGATGATGTTACCCAAACACCAGCCTCATTTCTGTGTCCCATATGTGGGCTCTGTTAAAGAACAATTTGTTTATGCCACACAGCTACACAGACACAGTTTACTATTCCACGTATTTCAACACGCAATACAGTCATGCAGTAGAAAATCATAACTAGGGAGATAACCTGGCACAATGTGTCTTTAAGTCTCCTTAGGAAATTAATGTTTAAATTCTTGACATAAAAACTGGACATAAAAAATTAGAAATTATCTTGTTCCTGAGAGAATAGCTAGCTCCTCTGACTTACTTTTTTTACTATTTAAGTGAGCTAAACATACACAAACAAGTAAGCAAGATTCACAAAAGTTAACAGTTTGCCATACACTGAAAAATAACCATGTGAGATACATATTTTTAAACAAGATGAAGCCTATTGTCAAACACATACCTTCTGAAATACAATTAAGTCTGTTTAGTCTTTACTATAAGGATTAATTTTCCTATTCTAGTCACATCATGATCTATATTTTCAAAATTTCCACACACACACAAAAAATCACCTTATTATGTTTCTTGTCCTGAGAGGCATGAATGATTTAAAAAGAAGGTAAGAAAGAAAATAATTAATTAGCCTGTGAAGGATTTAAACACTGTACTTACTTTTCATTTAAAAAAAAATAGTGCACTGGGCAAAGCTAACAAAATTATTATGAAAGTAAAACTAAACATGTAAACATTGGAGATAATTTTGCAAAGATAAAAAGATTTTTAAAATAGGATGACAATGGATAGAACCTGAGAGTCAGATAATGGACATTCTCTCCCTGGTTGTTAGAGTTTGAAAAACTATTTTTTAAAAAGGTAAGTGCATTCTACGATGTTAAAAAAAAAAACTCAAATTGACTCTTCCATATATGTATATATGTATGGTCTTCAAAAATTGTGTAGAAAATGCATATTATGAAGAAATTGGATTTCAATATTTTGGATCAAAATAAATGTGTACTTTAATTCTACTTTTCCAGAAACTTTTTGAAGCCTCTCTGTGGGTGTATGTGAGATATATATAATCTTGAACATGAAGGAGTGAACATGAAGGAACTTGTAAGAAACACCGGGTTAATTTTGGTTTTGCTTACATATTTTACATTAGACCGGTTTTTTTTTTTTTTTTTTTTAAGTAAAATCAGTCAATGTGAAAAATATATGACATTCTTGAGTAAGGTTAGAAGTTCACGTCATGTGATGCTCAGCAAGATAGTAATACCCTTGTCAGCTCACTGCCCTGTGTGGCAAACAAACTTCTAGTGTTACATCTTCAACAGCCTAGGAAAGAACAAAGGTCACTGCTATGCAAAAGCATTAAAACTGTTGCTTGAAAAGAATTTCATGTCACTAAAGATAAGAATTATTGTAGTGCTTTATAGCCATTGCAAGAAAAGCTAGAGCTACTTACTGCATTCCTTTGAGGAAAACTGATTATTTTCCTCCTACCCTCAAAGGCAAAATTTGGGGAGCTGGTAACTTTAAAACAATGTTTGAAAAATACAGTTGTTTTAAGCCAAAATATTTGTGTCTTTGGAAAGAATATTTACATGTGTCTACCTTCTATACTTGCGTTGAAATTTTAAAAAAGAATACAAGCTTTTTGCCGCAGCTTCGTGATAGTTAACCCAAAACACGCATATTGAAATGACTATTGAACACAGTCTTCAAGGTTTCACAAAGCCTCAGTGTTTTATAGCTGCACTCTACAGGCCTGGAGTGCTAACATCTAATGACTCTGTCCTCACTTCCTTTCTGAAAAAAAGCAAACCAAACCCTTTTGCAGCAACCTGCTCCTGCTTTCCTGTCCAGGATCAGAATCAGGCCTCTGTTTCCTCTCCACATGTCACAGTAGGAAGGACTCTGGAAAGTTACTTCCTGAACACACACTTCTTGTCCACCCTGCCTCTGACAGCTTGGAAGAGTGATGTATGGACCTATCAGGGAGAGGAAAGTGACCCCAACTCCAGCTCTTTGCAGGACAAGGGGATGATATGGCAGCCCTTGCCCCAGCTGACATGTGGCTATGAAGAGGTGTAAAGTCCTGATAAGAAGGCAGTCCTTTTCTTCTTTCCGTGTAAAATAATTGCTGGTTTATCAAAACAACCTCTTGCTGGCACTACAGATATGGTTTATCTCCTGCTATTTGGGAATAACAACAAGCAAGAGAAGTTGTCCATGTCGCGTGATTTCATACACAGCGAGTCCAGTTATTTTTCCAGTCCCAGTGATAATTAGTACTTGGGGCCGTGGACAAAGTGGAAACGGATAAGAAGAACATCCTTCCTAGTCTTCTAGGCCACCAGTGTCCTTTTCCAATTTTTAAAGCTGCTGTCACTGGACTCTGGCATTTCTTACCCAATTCATTTGCTTTCTGTGTTAATCATATGCAATGAAGATATGCATGGCCAACATTTAAACAGGCTGCAGATCAATTAGCGGTCTTAAGTTTATCTGATTTTTATCAAAGAAGACAGAGCTGTGGGTCGATTGTCAGAGCCTGTGTCAAGTTGACCTTTTCAGAGATGTCTACATTGCCAGTCCCCTGGGCAACTTGTTGTCCCCTGTTAGTCTCTGAATGGCAGAAGTCTGTTCTGCTCAAGCACAAAGTATACACAGATGTCTATATTACATTCTTATAGGTTTGACAGCAACTGCATGTTGTATCTATAAACTGTCCTTTAGCAGTGACACTTCCTCAATGATGATAAGCTAATTTATGCAACTAAATCTCCTTTGTGCAGAAATGAAAGCTAATTGAGTCATTACAAAGTAATTCAGGAAGGAATACCTTGTATAAATTGGCTTACTTTATAAATCCTTCTCAAGTGGTTTTCATGCATCCTAAATGGGACTAAGCAGCTTATCAGCCACAAGATATCCAGACCAAACAAGCCAACTTCAGGGAGTTGTGCAAACATCTTTAGAGTAGTAAGTGGCTAAAATGATAGTGAACAAAGCCAAAAGAAGCTGGGCCAGGAAGCTACACGATTCATTACCTGAGGTGTGATGAACACTGTCCTGACTCATCTTCCTTTGTTCTTTCATTTTCACTGGAGCATTATCCTCTTCCTCTTCTGTAAAGAAACAGTATTAATGACACACTGAAGGGTTTCCTAAAGGAGAACAACACAGTATTCACCCCATTTTAAGGCAAAACGAAAGTTTATAACACATAAATATTATTTTTCAAGTAATAAAACCACACCACATTAACATTCCTTTTTTTTAATAACCTAACACTGAACAAATAAACCATTTGCTATTTCCAAACAGTGACTTTTACAAGCTGACTTGATAAAATTTAAGATTTTAATAATGCGTTGGATATTTTGTCTTTTTAAAATAATTACTTAATTTAATTTTACTTTATTTTTCAATTCACCAGAGAGAGGAGAAACTGAGAAAAGCAAGCTGCCAGGTCCAGGACTTGAACTGCAGTTGGCCATGTAGGAGTCTAGCGTCTTAACCACCTTGCCCACATACTTTGTTTTAAATATTTACAGAAACTCATCTGGAGTTATTTTAAATCCAGTACAGCCCTTAAGTCCCGTGAAGCAGCAGCCCACATCATACAGATACACCACTTTATACTGTGTGGCAGGAGTATCACAGCTAAAATTACGGCCCCTAAGACATCGTTATAGCAAGAAGAAAATGTGCAATATAAAATGCAGTCAACCTGTAAGTTATTAATTGAGTATAAGTCATTGACTGATATTTTCATGTGTTTTCTTATTTAATCACCACAGGAAGATACTGAGAGGACCCTCACCCTTCAAGGTATTTCTCTAAAAATTATATTGAGGACCTATTGACTATGACGTACACTGTGTACGAAGTTGAGATTTCATAGATAAATAATTTTTAAATCCTCATCTGCAGATGAGTAAGTTGAGACTCCAAAAGTAAAATAATTTCCAGAGTATTATTCCATGTTCTTTTTCCTATAGTCAGTCAGTGCTTTTCCGGTATTCTTTCTACACTCTCCCATCATACTCTCACCAAGTCATAGGAAAAAAATGTGATAAAATTAAAGGAGAAGAGTTTAGAAACAGGGTCAATAAACTATGTAATTCTTTTATAACTCCCCCCAAAAATAGTAAGTTACCACTTGCCCCACCTAAGGATTTACATACAATTGAGAAAGTTAAGACAGGACATACAAACAAATGACATGTCAAAAAAAAGAGTTGGGTTTAAAAGAATCATAATTTCAAGAGAAATATGAAACTTTAGAGGGAGAGATGAAGTATATAAATGTAGCCATTATGCCTATTAAATCAATCGGTCAATAAATTTTGATTATTAAATGCCTGTAAGAGAGGGGATCTACCAAGAAGGCAAGGGTAAAAGGGAGTTTTTGCCCTAACTCAGGAGTCTAGAGGGGAAAGAGAAAAGATCTAAAGGAAATGAGCTAAAGGGGCTTAAACCTGGCAAGCGAGGCCCAAAGTCCTGAAGGATGAAAAAGGAGAGCCCACCCAGCTGGGGAGTGCCACGAAGGCTCCAGGGAGGAAGAGAATCTAAGTAAGGAGACATGAGAAGAAGGGTATTTCCAGAGAGGAAGACAGCCACTCTAAAAGAACAAGGCAAAGTCATATTTGTTGGAGTATAGAATATGGTACCCATAGGGGAAGAGTAGGATGGGAGATCATCCTAACGCTTTGGACCAATTGTCGAGGGGCCACGAATGTCTTGTTACAGACTTCAGGCATGCATTTGGCGGATAATAAGGGTCCTAGGTTTCAGAGCAGAGAATAAGCCTTTGCCTCAGGAGTAACTGACCCCAGTGTCTCAATAGCCTGAAGGATGGGTGGGGAGGGACCTCTCCAGAGTCTACATAAAGAGGAAGGAAGTCCTGAACTGCATGGGCAGAGGAAATGGAAAGGAGATGGTCATGAGAGGCAAAGGAACTAAACCTGATAAGCTTTGTGCCTGAATGAATGTGGAGGCTGGGGTATGCGGGGAGTAGACAAAAGGGAATCACCAGGGATAGCTCAGGATTTGAGCTTAGTGAACTAAGAAACAGAGGTATCATTATCAGAAAGAGGATGACCAGGCCAGGTAGTAACACAGCGGCGATGAAACTAGACCCACATGGGAAAGATCCTCCTGAGACCTCGCTGACCATGACAGGCATGCCCACGTGTGCCTTGACAGACTGGCCAAGACTGAGGGTGAATCACCGCATGAAGAGCCTGCCAGGGATGCCTGTCTGTTTCTCCCCCCCTTCATGGGAGAGATAAACCATAAAAAATAAATAAATAAATAAAAATTAATTAAAAATAAATAAATAAAAAGAAGACAGACAAGATCATCTATCTTGCTGGGGAAAAACAAGGAGCTATGTTTTCAACATGGGAGATTTAAGGTTCTGGCAGGGTGACCTAGAAAATGTCCGGGGCAACTGCAAAGTATGTTCGAGGGGTCAGGACTGCAAGTGCAAATTTAGGAGTCTCTCCAAACTTTAAATGGCGATTAATCAAAATCAGTATTTAAATCAAGCTTGAGAGTTACTGTACTTATAAGACAAAAATAATTATTTTGAATTTTTGCAACTCAATTCAAACAAAATAATGAAAGCTTCAATATAAGTAATTTTTGGAAATATTTGACACTTCATATATATTTTTTTAACCTAACGTTAGATATTTATATGGCTCAGTTGAATGGTAATTTATAAATAAAAGACCTACTAGAAAGTCTAATACTAAATCTTGTCTCCTTTTCTCTTTAACGACAATTAACTCACTTATGGCGAACCTCCAGGCTTAGTTATAAATAGATTAATAGAATGTTTTCATATGAATTTTAAAGATGGGAGGGGCATTTATAGTCATTTAGCCCAACCTACTCATTTTACACATAGTTAATTTTGTTTAAAAGTGAAGAAGAAAGCTTTCTCTACTTTCTACATTTTCTCTTGTCCTAGCACCCTCTCCCATTCCAGTCTGGTCACAAATTTAACAGTAATGAGTAAATTAAAAATAGCTAAGGGAATTTGTTCTCAGGCAAAAGCCATAACCACACACAATATAGTAAGCAGTATTTTGGCTTTTTTTTTTTTTTTTTTTTTTTTTAGGTTTTTGCCATAGGGCCTGTGCACTCTCTGGAGACAAAGAGAGACAGAGAGAGGGAAAGGCCATGCCACAATCCCCTCTCCTCCAGTCTCTTATCGGGATTTTGGGAATGCCTACACACGTGCCTGGAGTGATGTTCCAATCAGTGGGTCCAGGATTCAAACCATGGTTAACTTCTTAACTACCATGCCACCTGCTGCCCCTTTTCATGGCTTTTAAGAAGGGTCTGTGAGATTTAGACTCATCACCCAAAGTAATCATCAAGATATAAAAAATTACTTCCAATAGTTAGTTGGAAAAACTAATTTGGCAAAGTTAAGAATGAACTTGGAAGAATTTATTATTATGAATTTATTTTTATTTTATTAAAATGCAAGTACCAGGACCAATAGTTGGTGTAATGGCTATGTCACTGGACTCCCATGTAGTCGACCATGGTTCGAGTCCCAGACCTGATGGCTTCAACTCCCACCGGGCGCGTGTATGTGTGTGCCCAAGATCCCAAGAGGAGAATGGAAGAGAAGGGATAGCGACGTGGCCATCCCCTGTAGGGGGTGATTTCTCACTTTCTGTCTCTCTGTCTCTTTCTGGCAAGCGCATGCACCCTATAGCAAAACCCCCCCCCAAAAGAAATGCAAGTATCTATAATGTGTGCTAGAATTGATTGTATATTGGTATCAGAGGGCTTTGTCCTTAATAAATGTATTCTGAAATTATCAAAATGATGATATTAAAAGTATTTACTTAAGTATCAATATTTGCTGTGAAATATCCAAATTGAAATCCATATGAGATGCTTTTTAATAAGCAGTATTTTAGAGGATGAGATGCTTATAAAAAAACAGTTCATTTTTCCATTTCAAACCTAGTACAGATATTTTTAGGTTTCAAAGCTTTATGTATTTCCTACATCAATTTTTCTTAATAATATTCAAATGACTCATTTTATCTGGGACTGACATTATAGCTTCCATATAAATTATTTTAAAAATCAAATTTGGTATGTGTTTTTAAATCGTAGTGAAAAAAACAACTGAGACTGAACCTTGACCAGAGCCTGATGCCACGGAGATGTTCAACAAATACTGAGTGAGCTGATGGATTCAAAAATCATGAAAATAAATCCTAATTTCATTTATTAACAGAGAAAACCTCTCTACACCATTAAGAAAAAAAAGTGACCCAAAATTCTGCACAATAATCACCTTCACTGTATATTAGATATATCTACAGTCAGTACATGTTGTTTTATTTAGGCTTATTATTAAACATATTTTATTTTGATGTTGAGCCACAGTGTCATTATACAATACTAATTAATACCTCAAATAGTCAATGTTTATGGGTTAATATATTCCATTCAACATTTTAATAACAGTAAACAAAAACAGCTCAGCTATGCAGTAAAATCCATCAAACTACACAGATGGTTATAAGGTTTTCATTATGTGGTTTCCATAGCAATCATATTGCAAATCTGGAAGCTTCTTGCAAATAAGCAGCTTGTATTTACATGCCTCTCAGCTGCAACATGAAACTCTTCAACATGTGAAGTTATTATTCCAAGCACACATTGTTAGGAGAATCATCAGGAGTTTTTGTTTTGTTTTGATTTATTAGAAGATGAACGTGAACAGTAACATGAACTAAGTGCAGAAGATAATTCCAATACAGTCATGCGCTTACCTAACTGATCAATGAGTATCACAAATGTTCCGAAAGTCATCCAAAGATTTTAACATTAAACCCTGTCAAAACTATGGAAATTTCAGTAGCAATCAGACCCTATAGAATCCAAAAACATAACCCCAGCTCCCCTCCCCTTTTTTTCTTCTTTTGTTAGAGAGAGAGTTTTACTATAGGACATGTGCATTCACAGGAGAGACACAGAGAGAGAAAACCAGAAATAACCCCCAAGGGGGAACGGCTACACCACAATCCCTTCTCCATTCTCCTCCTAAGACCTTGGGGGCAGACACACACACACACACACACAC